AGACTACACTCATTCTCACCACCATTTTTTTCCCGGCTGCAATTATATGGTTTATAGGTAAACGTTAGAACACATAGACATATGACACGAATATGATAACACGAATACGAAATTTCTAAACGTATGCTACATTAGAGATGGTACTGTTAAACATCGAATGAGAATACGGTTGATTCTTTAAGTGTGTTTCGTTACCGTTTAATTTGTTTTTTCTTTTGAGTTCAACGACGGCAAGAGATGCGTTAATTAGTTGACCTATGCTTCAGTGGGCATTACTTTCGTTTTTTATGGATATCGATGAGTTGTCTTTTTTATCATCCTTTAAAACATGTCAACTAAATCGTAATGTTCGTGCATGTCTATGTTGATATCGATACTATGTTTGAGTATATATGTGTTCTATTAAAAAAGGATAAATGTTGATTATTATATTGACACGTTTTTTTTTTTTTTTTTTTCAACGACAGGAGTGTTTTTTGATGATGTAAATGAAGAAGATATGCAACAAGGCACAATTACTGGATCGAGAGTAAGACCTCCCTCGAAAACAAAAAAATTATCTCAAACAAATTTAGGTTCTACACAAGTTTAGGGTCTTTTTTATTTTATTTATTTACGGTACTCTTTTATGATTAAGAGACTATTTTGTTATAAATTATTTTTAGTTTGATATTGGTATTCTTCATTTAAAATTTTCAATAAAATTAAAAAACTTTCAACTATTAGAAAAATAAATAAATAATTTAATTTGTCATAATTTAATTTTATTTAATTTGATATTTGTATTTCTTCTGTTTAAATTTTTTAATAAAATTGATAAACTTCCCATTATTCTAGAATAAGTACTATTATATGTTAAATAAATAAATAATTTAAGTTAGCAAAATTTGTTTTAAATTAATTTAAGTTAGCAAAATTTTTAATAATTTAAGAGATCAATAATTTTAGTTAGGTCGGTTCAGGTTGTCGGGTTGAATGTACACCACTATCTCACACGAAACAAAAAAAAGACCAATTTAAATGTTAAAATCAAGCACAAGCTACTCGAAACAACATATATGTTTGATTTTCATTTTTGACATTTCAAAAAAATTTAGTTTCCACTGGTATGAAATTGGTATAAGAGATATAATTTCAACTTGGACCCCTAACAACTAAATTAATATTCTTTTTACTAGTTCGTAAATATATTTAAATTTACTATATATATTTTTTTAATATTTTCATTCAAATTAAAAATAAAAAATAAACAAATAAAAAATTTAGAATCTCAACCAGAATTAGAAAAGATAAAATATGAATCAAATTCGGTATATATATATATATGAGAATCTACGTTTCAAAATTAAAAAAATTAAAATCAAAATCTAAACCTAAATAAAATATGCCATAAAAAAAATAAAAAACGAGTTAAAATCAAAATCTATGAATAAAAAATTTACAACTCATTTAAAATTACAAAACATAAAATATAAATAAAAAGTTTATAAATATTCTCATTCCAAAATTACAAAATATAAAATAAAGATTTAAAATCGGTCGAAATAAAAATCTAAACCGTTAAAATTACATAATCAAAATATAAAATATGAATCAAAACATTTAAAATACTAGATTTAAAAGTACAAAAATAAAATATGAATCAAAGATTTAGAACGGGCCGAAATCAATAATACTTTCTCCTATTTATTCTTTTAATTCCTCCGATCTCTAATCATCAAATCGTACACTGTCGTTAGCTGTTTTTGCACTCTTCTGAACTCACAAACCCTTTATAGTCTTTAGATATCAACTTTTTTTTTTTTTGTGTTTTAAACTAATGGCTACTTCTGCTTCCTCCGATGTTAGTTCCAACCAATCTTGGTTCACGCCATTGCGGTACTATTCTTACTTTTCTCGTATTTTGGTTTTTAAATATGATAGCAATATTTGAAATTTGCATCCTTCGTCATCTATGTTTGATTAATCTCTTTAGACTTCAACTCATTTATATTTTTTTTAACTTTAAATCTCTGTTTATTTATTTTATAGACTACTTGTTCTGTTTTGTGTCATCCATTTAATTAATTACATGGATAGAGGAGTTATTTCAAGCAATGGTGTGAATGGAATCCCAAAAACATGTGGTGCCGATGGCATGTGCACATCTGGTTCCGGGATCCAGTAAGATTTATTTGAAGTGCATTTGATAATATTTTATTGTCAATTTGTTGATCTTTTGTAAGATGTTTTTAATGGATTATTATGATTAGGGGACAATTTAAGTTAACCAATTTTGAGGACGGAATTTTATCTTCTGCATTTATGGTTGGACTTCTTCTAGCTTGTCCAATATTCGCGTCATTGTCGAAGAGGTAATCTAAATAATTGTTGAGCATATTGTCGATTATGATTAAGTATAATTTGTTCGACTTGTAATATAATTTAAATTTTGCAGGATAAATCCATTTCGACTCATAGGTGTTGGATTATCTATTTGGACTTTGTCAGTAATTGGATGTGGTTTTTCATTTAATTTCTGGTCGATTGTTGTCTGTCGCATGTGAGTAAACCTCTTTTATTTTTTCCCCTATTCAATCTTTTCTTTTCAACTTGACTCTCATGAATGCAATGCTTTTTCTTCGTAGGATTGTGGGTGTTGGTGAGGCATCGTTTATAAGTCTTGCGGCGCCATTTATTTATGATAATGCACCCGCTCATAAGGTTCATTTCATATTCATCACAATAATATACTAGTAATGTTTTAGCATATCGTCTATATAGTTGAAAACATTTTCTTATTCATCACAATAATATACTACATTGTGTGAGGCCTAGTCTAAGGCCGCTTTCCATGGCTATGTCTACGGTTGCAATTCACATTTTTGGAGATGTGCCATCTTCACCTCTTGTTGGAGTTCTCGAGGTTTGTTCTTTAGAAGTTAAGCTCTATTTGATACGTTTTAAGTTACGTTTTACCAATCAAGTTTTAACAATGGTTTACTCAATTTTGTAGGACCATCTTAACAATTGGAGGAAGACTACTCTCATCCTCACAACCATTTTTTTCCCAGCTGCTATTATATGGTTTATAGGTAAATGTTAGAACACATAGACATATGATACAAATATGACAACACGAACACGTAATTTCTAAAAGTAGGCGACATTAGAGACTGTATCAATCATTAAACATCAAATGAGAATAATGTTGATTCTTTAAGTGGGTGTTTCGTTACCGTTTAATATGTTTTTTTCTTTGAGTTCAACGACATATGGGGCAAGAGATGCATTAATTAGTTGACCTATACTCTAGTGGGCAGTATTCTTGTTTTTTTATGAATATTCATGAGTTATTTTTCTTTCATCTTTGAAAACATGTCATAATTAGATCGTAATGTTCATGCATGTTCATGTTGATATCGACACTATGTTTGAGTATCTGTCTTTTATTAGAAAAGAATAAATATTGATTATTATATTGGTACATTTTTTCTTTTCAGAGTGTTTTTTGATGATATAAATGAAGAGGATGTGCAACAAGGCACAATTAATGGATTGAAAGCAAGACATTCCTTAAAAACAAAAAAATTATCTCAAACAATTCGAAGTTCTTCACTAGTGTAGAGTCTTTTACTTAATTTTTTAGAGTATGATTGCAATATTTTTATTGTAAATATTTATTTTTTCAATTATGAGGAGAATAGAGTTGAAAAGCATTAGATTTTATTTTATTTTATTTATTTATGGTTATTTTTTCAGGATTAAATTGACTATTTTGTTATAAATTTATTTGATTTAGATTTGATATTTATATTTCCCTGGTTTAAAATTTTCAATAAAATTCATAAACTTTCAATTATTAGGATAATAAATAAATAAATAATTTAAGTTAACAAAATCTATTTTAAATTAAATTTATTGGTTGGAATAACTAAATTTATAATAGTTTAATCTTTTTTCGAATTATATAAATTCAATTAAAATAATAAATAAAATTATATAAACTTAATTAAAATAATAAATAAATATGCTAAATCTTCTAATCATATAAACAAGTAAAATAATAAAAAAATAAATAAAATTGGCCTACCATTCATATAAATTCAGGTAAAATAATAAAATAAATAAATAAATAAATTTTTAATAGCCTAATCCAAATCAATTTAGATTTTTTCTCTTATTACAAATTATAGAAATTAAATATTATATGGAGAAATTAAATATAAAAAATAGGAGAAACATTTGTAAATTAAATATCATAATTTGAATCTAATTAAAACAAATTAGGAGGAACACTTTGTAAATTAAAAATTAATAAAAATAGGTCATTCATTTCATCAATTATTATATTAGAACGTGGGTAATGGCGTGAACGAGATTTAGAAAACTTGTTGTGGTGATAATAGATGCACATTTGATTCTCGAATACAATAGATTGATTTTATTGATTATTATCTAATGTTACGAGAGTATCTAACGCCGCTATGTTGGATCAATTACATGGATAGAGGGGTCATTGCCAATATAATGGGTTGTAAATAGACAATTTTGCACCATTCTAAACAATTACAAAGAGTGGAAAAGCATCAGGTTTTGACCGTTCTTTTTATAATTTAATTCATTTACATACTAATTTTTTGATGATAAGTATTTTTGAGAGAATATAAAAATAATATTGTATTCTAAATTTATTTGATCGATATAGATATTTCTTAAATTTAAAATTTTCAATAAAATTCATAAATTTCAATTATTAGAACCATTATTATTATATGATAAATAAATAAATAATTTAAGTGAGCAAAATCTATTTTAAATTAAATTGATGGCTTGTTAATAAAACCTATTTTTTTCCGATTAATCATATAAGCCTAGTAAAATAATAATTAAATAAATAAGCATAAATAAAAATAATAAATTTCTCTCCCCAATAAAAAAATAAGAAAATAAATAAATAAACAATAGTCTTATCTTCTCTCTCCTATTTCATTTATTTAATTTTTGAGTTAAATTTTAAAAAAATTAATTGGTTTATATTCAATTAAATTTTATATTTGAAGAAATTCTAATTTTTTAATTTAATTTTTTTATCAATAAATTCGGAGAGTAGAAAAAATGTAATTTAAAAATATTATTAGATGTAATATTAAAGTAACCTAATTCTTAAATTTTGTGGAAAATGGATGGGGTTTAGAAAAATTAAAAATGATTAAATTTGTAATTAAAAAAAAATGCATGAACTAAATTTATATTATTTAAAACCAAAACCGAACTAATTCTTTTTTTTAAGAAAATTAACCGAATTAAATACAAACTCAACCTCTTATAATTTTAGTTAGGTTGGTTTAAATTTTCGAATCAAATACAAACTCAACCCAACTCTTATAAGTTTAGTTAGGTTGGTTTAGATTTTCGGGTTGAATGTACACCCCTATCTCACACGAAACAAGAGGAGATCAATAATTTTAGTTAGGTCGGTTCAGGTTGTCGGGTTGAATGTACACCACTATCTCACACGAAACAAAAAGAGACCAATTTGATTGTTAAAATCAAGAACAACCTACTCGAAACAAATGATGTTTGATTTTCATTTTTGACATTTCAAAAAAAATTTAGCTTCAATTCATATGAAAGCTCTAATTTCAACTTTGACCCCTACCAACTAAGTTAATACTTCCTTTTTTACTAGTTCATAAATATATTTAAATTTACCATATATATTTTTTTAATATTTTCATTCAAATTACAAATAAAAAATAAACAAATTTTAAAATTAGAAAAAATAAAATATGAATAAAAAATTTAGAAGCTCAAAAATTAGAAAAGATAAAATATGAATCAAATTCAAAAGTTTCAAAATTAGAAAAATTAAAATCAAAATCTAAACATAAATAAAATATGCATAAAAAAAATAAAAAAAGAGTTAAAATCAAAATCTAAAATATGAATAAAAAATTTACAACTCATTTAAAATTACAAAACATAAAATATAAATAAAAAATTAATAAATATTCTTATTACAAAATTACAAAATATAAAATCAAGATTTAAAATGGGTCGAAATAAAAATATAAACGGTTGAAATTACATAATCAAAATTATGAGATATAAAATATGAATCAAAGATTTAAAATTACAAAAATAAAATATGAATCAAATATTTAGAACGGGCCGAAATCAATCATACTTTCCCCTATTTATTCTTGTAATTCCTCCGCTCTCTCATCTTCAAATCGTACACTGTCGTTAGTTCTTTTAGCACTCTTCTGAACTCACAAACCCTTTACAGTCTTCAGATATCAAACTTTTTTTTTTTTGTGTTTTAAACTAATGGCTACTTCTGCTTCCTCCGATGTTAGTTCCAACCAATCTTGGTTCACGCCATTGCGGTACTATTCTTACTTTTCTCGTATTTTGGTTTTTAAATATGATAGCAATATTTGAAATTTCCATCCTTCGTCATCTATGTTTGATTAATCTCTTTAGATTTCAACTCATTTATATTTTTTTTAACTTTAAATCTCTGTTTATTTATTTTATAGACTACTTGTTCTGTTTTGTGTCATCCATTTAATTAATTACATGGATAGAGGAGTTATTTCAAGCAATGGTGTGAATGGAATCCCAAAAACATGTGGTGCCGATGGCACGTGCACATCTGGTTCCGGGATCGAGTAAGATTTATTTGAAGTGCATTTGATAATATTTTATTGTCATTTGTTGATCTTTTTAAAGATGTTTTTAATGGATTATTATGATTAGGGGACAATTTAAGTTAACCAATTTTGAGGACGGAATTTTATCTTCGGCATTTATGGTTGGACTTCTTCTAGCTTGTCCAATATTCGCGTCATTGTCGAAGAGGTAATCTAAATAATTGTTGAGCATATTGTCGATTATGATTAAGTATAATTTGTTCGACTTGTAATATAATTTAAATTTTGCAGGATAAATCCATTTCGACTCATAGGTGTTGGATTATCTATTTGGACTTTGTCAGTAATTGGATGTGGTTTTTCATTTAATTTCTGGTCGATTGTTGTCTGTCGCATGTGAGTAAACCTCTTTTATTTTTTCCCCTGTTCAATCTTTTCTTTTCAACTTTTTATGACTCTCATGAATGCAATGCTTTTTCTTCGTAGGATTGTGGGTGTTGGTGAGGCATCGTTTATAAGTCTTGCGGCGCCATTTATTTATGATAATGCACCCGCTCATAAGGTTCATTTCATATTCATCACAATAATACACTAGTAATGTTTTAGCATATCGTCTATATAGTTGAAAACATTTTCTTATTTGCTACAGAGGACCGGTTGGATAGCAATATTGTATATGTGCATGCCTACGGGTTATGCAATTGGCTATCTTTACGGTGGATTTGTAAGTTCTTATTTATTTGGATAACTAGTTTACATCATACTCCTAATTAGATATTTGTGTAGTTAAATAACTTTAACTTTTAATTGATAGGTTGGTGAACGTCTAGGTTGGCGCTATGCATTTTGGGGCGAGGCAATATTAATGTTTCCGTTTGCAATTCTTGGTTTTGTTGTCGAGCCTCTCCAATACAAGGGTAAGGATCGAACTTATATCATACAATAATTTTTGTGCCACCTCTAACTAAACTATTTGTGGATGTAGGTTTTCCTCCTCGGGAGACGGTTAACGCATCATTACCTGTCGATACAGCTACCTCATTAGTTAAAGGTACTTATCTTCTGCTTCCGTCTCTTGCTTTTCTTGTGCATGTTGTGCATGTTGTGCATGTTCATGTTTACAAGTCATAACAATTTTTTTTTTTTTTTTTGTTTGTATATGAAATTAGATTTGAAAACTAAAGATGGAACATCTCGTAAGGATTTACCAGAGAACGGGGTGGAGAGTTCCTCCAAGTAAGCAACTCATTGTAGCAATGTCATTTTCAAATTAGATTATAAGAACGTTGCATTTGTATTTTGCTAGAATATGATTTAATCTTTTTTTTTTTTTTTCATAACTTATGACAGTTCTTCACCTCAATTCTTGAAAGATTTGAAAGCACTTCTGGTCGATAAGGTTTTTGTGGTCAATGTTTTAGGTATGTCTTTTATTTAATTTATCATA